AGTTGTGAATGCCCCAACACGGTAAGTCTTTAAGATGTTGGATAGCCATCTGTCTGAAATTGTATAGTGTTTCCTGCCTAGAGAGGGGGTTCGACTAGAAGACCTCCAAGGTCCCTTCCAACTCTGTTATTCTATTCTATTCTATTCCATTTTTTTCTATTCAATTCTATTCTGTTTCTGGACTGGTCATTGTCCCCACCATCATCCAGAAATCAGGGGAGGTAGTGGCATGATATAAACGAGACATGATAAATTATAAATCCCTCCCCCCTGTGTACTTCCTCCTCAAATGCTACAATGCAGGTTCCAGATCAGCAGAATTTTGTATTTTTTTATTTGTGGCTGAGCAGAATGAAATAGAGAACAAGGGATCTCGAAAAGATGACCAGGTCATCTGGATGCTCCATGGGATTAAAGCTTTATGGTAAATCAGGCATTTTGTTTCATAAAAGCTCCATCCAGTCAAAGGCCCCTTCTGGCTTCCTGCATTGTTTCATCCCTTCATTGTTTCCTGCAAAAGCCCCCTCCCCATTCGCCCCTCTTGTTTCCTACAGGAGGGGCCAATCACCTCCAAGGGGTGGCTTTACTCCTATGTTGACCCTACTTTCTTAGTTGTTCTTGTCTTCTGGCAGCTCTGCGCATTCGCACACTGGGAACAGGCTCCAGCTGTTCTTCTGCCTTGCTGCTGTCTAGCTCCTTCTCTGCCTCTGATGCAGAGCCCTTGTCTGAGCTTTCCTCAGCCCTCAGGACTGGCCCATGTTCCTCCCCAACCTCCTCACTGTCCAACTCTGCTGCCAGCTCTGCTGGCCGCCGATGGGCCACAACAGTAGAGCAACAAGGCTGATCTGGGACTGGAAACTGAAAACTCTGTAGATGAATAGACAGAGCTCAGTCTGTTTAGTCTTGAGGAAAGAGCGATGGTGGTGCTGGTGGGGTATGTAACAGGCCTGTCCTGGGTTCCCACCTCAGTTGGAAGCTCCAAGGGCAAAGACTGAAACAATTTCTATCATGCCACTTCCTGGCTAGATGACCGAGTACATAAAGTGAGTGTTCATTCCTTTCTCCTCCTCCAGGGGGACAGACCCATCTTACAAGAGAGAAAGAAAATGAAGCTATACTTTTAAAAAAGGGCATGGATGATATGAAGCCTCTTGTTTTAAATAGGAACATGCTAATATTCAAGCAAAAGGGGAAAAAAGATACTGGATTTCCTGAAGGACATAAAGAGCAAATCATCCAGTCCTAGCCAACCCATATCGATCAGGACGTCCCCAGTTTCTCTAGGGTTCATATACAAGGTCCCTAGATTTCTCCCTGAAGTTCCCTCAGCCCTCTGGGTTGGACCCAGGTTGTTTGTGGGCTGTCCAACCACAAGAGACATCCAGAACATGTACAATGATTCATGCTTCACCAACTGCATCATTAAAATGACCAGGTGGCGATTTTTCTCGTTTGGGCCATGAGATGCTTGAAGTCAAATGTACATAAAATAACCATTCAAAGAAATGTATTAGGATCTGTTGGGAGTTGATCCTCAGCATCATGAGCTCTTCGGCCAAGGATTTAAATCATGATTCCCCCCCCCCCTCTCCCCAGTGGTGGCTTTCAAAGTTTTTTAGAAACTCTTCTGTGAGTGTGGCCTGCTTTGTGGGAGTGGCTTGCTGGCCATGTGACTGAGTGGGAGTGGCTTGCCAGCCATGTGACCGGATGGGAGTGGTTTGCCAGCCATGTGACTGAGTGGGAGTGGCTTGGCAGTCATGTGACTGGGTGGGTGTGGCCAACTTGTAAAATGTGGTAACAACGCTCTTGCTTAGCAATCAAAATGTTGGCTCAGAAACTCTGGCATTTGAAGCACACAAGTCTTAAAGCTGCCAAGTTACAAGACCCTTGCACCCCTAACCCTTTAGAAAAAATAACCCCAGGGGTGTTCAAACTTGATAGCTTTAAGATTTGTGGACTTCAACTCTCAGAATTCCTCCTCGCTCTTCATCTTGATGATGTGTGGACGGGCAGGGGGAGGGATCTGGAACCGGTTCTAAACGGCACTGTAGATTTGTGGAACCTCTTCTATAGAAGAGCTTAGAACTGGCAGAAACCTCCCCTGCCCCCCCCTCAAAGCTGGTGGAGAGTTGCCTGAACTAGATGTACTAAAAGTTAAGGCAATGGTTGGGTTTAATTATCTCCTAAATATATTGTGGTTTCATTGTTGTGACTTAGCACACAATAATGTGCGCTTGCCTCCTTCCACATTCTAAATTTTTATATGTTGTGTTTATATTTTAACATTTTATTGTAGAGTGCTTAGAGTCCCTCCTTGAGGGAGATGACCAGTTTAAAGATATGCAAAATGAATAGAAAGAAAGAGAGAGGGGGGGAAGAGAACAACAGAAAGAAAAAGAAAGGAAAGGAAAGTGAATGAGAGAAAGAGAGAGAGAAGGAAGGAAGGAAGGAAGGAAGGAAGGAAGGAAGGAAGGAAGGAAGGAAGGAAGGAGTTGGATGCTTTCTTGCTGGCTGATCTGAGACAAAAGCAGAGTCATGAGGACACGTCCTGTAAACAATGGCTTGCAAGATGTCTTCATGCTACAGTTAGAGGAACATGAAGAGGAGCCCCTTAGATTTTTTCATGTTGGGAATTCCCAGCCCTTTAGCTTGTCTGCCATCCAATGGGGATGATTGTTTGAGGTTCTCCTTCAGTGATCAACTCTTTCTCCCCATTCCATTCCAGAATCCAATCTGGGGCTCATCATTGGCTGCGTTGTGGCTGCCCTTGTCCTGGCGTGTGCGATTGCTGGGATCCTGGTATTCTTCAGTAAGCATCTTTTTTGGGGGGTGATGGAAGGAAGATGGGGAGATTCCTCCCAAGTCTCTCCCTTTGGGGAGCTTCTTCTGGGCTTCCTTCTGTCCTGATTTCTGAGTCCTCTTTGGGTGCATCGGAGATCTCGGCGTCTTGCTGGGACTCCAGTCTTCACTTGACTAAGGTTGTCTGAGGTTGGGACAGTCCTGTCTTCTTCTGAGTTGGGAAGAGGCATCCCAGTTCCTTTGTCCCTTTCAAAGGCTTTGGTCAGAGAGCAGCGGAGAAGGATTTCCATGAAAACCTCCCTCCCCTCCCAGCTGCTCCTTCTGCTTCCCCAAATTCCCCTCTGTCCTTCTCGGAGGCAGCAGGTCTCTCTTGGGGCAAATCTGTTCGTTTGTAGTCTGAAGAGCTTCCTGTATCTTTTACAGGAGTGATTGTGACTAAAAAAATGTAAAGTATCTCCTGGGGCTTTTCCTTTGGGGAAATTTGATGATCTCGGATGGATTTTTTTTTTGAGCTTGGACTATTTGTTCTTGTTGTTTTGCAGAGAAATATCAAAATAGGCGCAGAGCAGCATCAATAGCAATAGCAATAGCAGTAGACTTATATACCGCTTCATAGGCCTTTCAGGCCTCTCTAAGCGGTTTACAGAGAGTCAGCATATTGCCCCCAACAATCTGGGTCCTCATTTTACCCACCTCGGAAGGATGGAAGGCTGAGTCAACCCTGAGCCGGTGAGATTTGAACCGCTGACCTGCTGATCTAGCAGTAGCCTGCAGTGCTGCATTTAACCACTGCGCCACCTTGGCTCAAATCAGTTGTGTGATTTGCCCTCTTTCCATGTTAGCTCCAATTCAGAGCGAGAACCAGAGGCTGAATCAGTTGAGATGTGTGTGTATATGTGTGTCCAAGCACAAAAGAAGCTCATGAGGAGTTCTATCTATCTTCCTCTTCCTCTCAAGAGCTAATCTGGGGAAGGAGAGCTCCTTTTCAATACAGCCTGGCTGTTCTTGGGAGTGGAGACCCCAAGGAGAAACATCTGGGACAAGGAACCCTCAAGAAGGTGAGAAGACCCGA